TAGGCTGGCACCGTTCAACAACCGGCCCCCTGTCCTCCCACTCCCAGAGGCCCCCCCCTTTCCGAACCATGCCCACCTGCTTGCAGTTCCTGGAACTTCTCTGGTCTGTGCCTTTGCACATACTGTTCCCTCTGCCTGAGGTGCCTTTCCTCTACTACTGATTTAGTTAGCTAACTTACTCCCTATAGTTGGTTAAATTGTGCCTCCCCCCAAAAAAGAGGTGTTCCCCTCCTAACCCCCAGAACCCTGGAACCTGTGTATGCGGCCTTATTTGGAAATAGGACAGATATACTTAAATTAAGGGTGCTGAGATGAGATCATCCTGGATTTAGAGTGGGCCCCAAATTCAATGAAAGGTGTCCTTGTAGAAGAAAGGAGAGAGGAACTTGACACAGAGGGACAAAGACACTGAGGGAAGGCCATGTGAAGACAGAGCAGAGATCATGTGATAATGCTGGAATTTTAGGTAGCAGCCCACAGGTGATTGCAGGAAATCTATTTTGGCCAGAGTAACTCTCGCCTTCTCATCCAGGGGCCTGCTCACCTCTTCCCAGGTGAGAAGCAGGAGGATGCCTTTCCTGGGATTCTAAGAGGATTTGTCCTACACTGTCTTCACCTGAAGACCCCACCTGCCTTCTTTTTTAGACCGTCTCACTGAGCTCTGTGTGAATGTTCTAGAAAAGACTGGGGGTGGGGGAGTTAGTTAATCCTGGCAGCTCAGGTGGAAAATGGCCCCAGGACAACTAGCTAAGTCGGTCATCCCAAGGAACAAGGGGAGTGTTGCACAAAGTTTGCTCTTACGGAAGAAACTTGTCAGTGGGTGAGGCCTCTAGGTGACCCCAGCATTCAGCCAAGTGCCCCCAGGGTCCAGCCATTTTTCAGGGGCCTTACATGAGGCTCTTTGTCTCTGGCAGGCAGGGCTCTGGCAGCCCCTGGGCTTGCCTGCTCTTTCCCAGCCACCCCCCCAGCCCCACCTTGATCTCCTGCTCCAAGGCGCCATTCACTGTCGGGAGGGACTCAGCCCTCTCAGAGCCTGGGGCCACCCCTGACCCAGTGGCGGTAGACCGGTCCCCAGGCAGCCACTGAGGTGGCTGTGGCCTCTGATGACTCCTCCATATGGGAAGAGAGAAAACTCCAGACTGTGGATTCGGAGAAGAGGGGCCGGGCCTCCTCTAAGTTCTGGAAGAAGGAAAATGGGAGGTTGGGCTCCTGATAGGACTGTTCCAAGCCGTGAGGCCTTGGGTGAACTGCTTCAGCCTGTGGAACTAGGGCAAACCTCCAGAGCGACGCAGAGCTCCCGTGCCAGCTTCCTGGTGGCGCTGGTGTGTGTGTTACACAAGCTGTCACCGCGGGCGAGGCGGGCCTCCCGAGACGGCTCGTCTCTCCGCGTGTCCCTTAAATGTACCATTATCGCAAATAAAGAGTGTTTAAAAATGATGTTTAAATAAGAAAAACAGGTAGACAACCTCAGTATAAAGTATAATCTGACTTTGACAGTTAATGGGGCGGGGGGGAGAACAAATGCGTTCTCTCCTTTATACAGTCTTTTCCAGGAATGCTTCCTATAATTTGTACTTCCAAGGAGAACAACAGTAAGTGTGTAATCTCTCTCTGTGCTGAATGACTATAGGTGGGAGAATGTCCTAATCGAGTCAAATGTTTTCTTCAAATCTCAGTACCTGTACGTGTTCATACAACTACACAAATTACAGGCTTGTTCTCGTTGATAAGGAAAAAGAAAAAAAAAATCCCTACTTCCCAAAGACGAGAATCTGATTATTTAAGTCTACATCTTCACCCTCCCATTTACTAATTGTGTGACACTTGCTAAGTGACTTTATTTCTCGGCACCTGTTTCCCTAATCTGTAAAATGGGTTGATAGCGTCTTCCTCGTGGGCTTGGGGTAGTTCAGATGAGTTGCTTGTGTCTGTAGGAGGCTTACAGAGGTGCCTGCAACACAGTAAGTACACAGAAGGAGCTGGATCCTGGGCTAAGTTTGCCGTGAGGTCTAATGTTACAACGTAGGGCAAGGGCTAGGAGCAGAAGGAGTTCCTCCTAAGGATTCATTGCCCACCTTTCACTGCCTGGCTGTGTACCACCTTGGAAAAGTCACAAGACCTTTTGAGGTTTGCTGTCCTCCTTTATAGAATGAGGTCTCTCGTGTGAACATCTAGGAGACTGCCTGCCCGCCCCTAATGTGTGCGTTTCCTGGGGCCCCCTCCTGGGACACCATCCCCACTGCTCCCCTCATTGCCCTGCTCATGGCAGAGCTGACAGTTCCTTCTTCAGCCTTCCCTTGGCCTCAGTTGATGACCCCAGAAATGGGTGCCTTCCTCAGGGTGCCAGAGGGGTGGCAGGCAGGGGACGGGTGTGCAGGATGGAGTCTGGAGCTGCCAGGGCCTCGTCTCACATTATGGGGAAGACGGTCACTCTACCCAGAGAAGACAGAGAGAACTGGGGGATTCTATCCCTGGTTCCGGCCACCCCTAAACCCAGGTGAGGCCCTGTGTTCCCAAGCAGGGGCTGTCGGGTCTTCCTTAGAGGCAGTAACAGTAACAATAGTAGCAAGGAGCGCTTACACATATGTACTGTGAGCCAGGCACTGAGCCCTCTAGGTACTAACACTTTTACTCCTCCTAGCAGTATCAAGAGGTAACTTCGCCCCCTTTTACAGATGGGGAAACCGAGGCACAGCGAATAACCCGTGCAGGGTCACGCAGCCAGCAAGAGTCAGAGCCACCATGTCCCATTCTTATGTGTACCTGACAAAGAAGGTGTAAGTGAAATGGATGGAAAAGGTATTTCCTAGAAGGTCATCACGTATGGACCCAACTCTCCCGAATCGCTTTTCCAGGTTGCCAGTGTCCGAAGTCTTTCTGCCAAGATGGTCCTGTGCGTCCCCGAGAGCACTGGTGACACAGAATTTCCCAGAAGGCTGTTCCTCTGTTGTTCTTGGAAGTTTCCACCAAGCTTGCTTATGCCCAACCTGTATGTTTCGACATCCTCGTGTGCGGGCAATGATGCCCAGTGCCTGTGACCACGACTGGGGCACATCCCAGCTTCAGGGAAGTGGGGAGGTGAAGAAACGGGGCATCCTGGATTCACCAAGCAAGCGTGGTCCGTGCTTGGTAAATATTCTTTGCCAGAATGGATGTGTGAATGAGTGAATGAATGCAGGACAAGCGAGTGGAGAGGTTAGTGAATTTCCCTACACCGGAGGGCAGCACGCCAGTGCAATTTACAGATAGAGGAAGGGACACCAATTAGAGGCTCATTATTTGGGCTTCCTGGAGTTCTCAGTGAGGGGGCAGCTGTGTCTCCAAGGGACCTTGGTGCCAGGCTGATAATAAGGAATTCTAGCCAGACCTGCCGAGCACCTGCTGTCCATAATCTCCCTGATGCCTCCCCAGCGAGTCTGATAGGCAGCTACTCTTACCACGCCCACCCCACGAAGAAGAAACTGAGGCTCAGACAGGCTAAGTGCCTTGCCCAGGATGGGAACCCGGGTGACCAGTCTCTGATCTCTGCACTGGACACTCAGCCCTGATCGGTCCGGCTGTTCAGTGGACCCCCTCCACCCTCAAAGTCTTCAGCCAACCTCAGGTCCAGGTTCCCCCCAGCCCAGTGAGATCAACCTTCCAGGTTTGGAGATCTCACGGGTGAGCCAAGCTGTGACTCCTGTAATCATAAATTTCACAAAGGGGCTCATGCCTGGCTCAGACTGGCTCAGACAGACATGAATCTCACTCCCCAAAATGGAAACCGGATTGGTCTCTTGTTGGACTTGCCATTCTTGGAGAAAGTCATCTTCCCTTTCCATCAGCAGGAAGGAAGGTCACAACGTCGCCCGCACGGTGTGACAAAGGCACACTCTATGTAGGTCGTGTATGAATCACTGGACTGTTTCCCTTTCATGTTTCCCCACAAAAACAAAATGAAACAAAACAAAGACCCAGTAGTTCTTCAGCAATGTGGAGGCATTGAGGCCTGTCTGTCACCGGTCTTTCCAGTGGACTTGGACCGTTTTGTTCTACAAGAGTGTGCATTTTATGGGAGAAAGCGTGCATCTGGGGTCAGGGAGGTGCCTGGGGCCAGGGCTGCTTGTTTTTTGAAATATGGGAACGTGGGTGTTTGTCTTCCATGGAAGCCCACTTTGGAACTGGGAAGGTTGAGCCCTGCAAAGGTCTGATCAGCACCACTCACCTCGGGCTGTTCGGAAAGGGTGAGTTAGTGGTAAATGGAGCCACTGCTGTCCACGAGCCTACGCAGGTGTGTGTCCGTACTGTGCAGCCGCTGTTGAGATGTGTGTAACGGCTGCTCCCAAGGGCTCTGCCCACAGCCCCGTGGGGTTCCCATCCTGGCAGAGGCACCCCTAGGGGCAGCCCGTACCTTGTCACTGAAGGGCGCTGGAGCCTCACACATGGGCTCCCATGCCCCCCACTGGGGCCACTTCCACAGTGTGACTCAGGGACGCCTACGCTATTTGCACAAAAAACATGAGGGGCCCCTTGGTGGACAACTGCTGCAACTGTTATTAAAGCCAAGTGTGAGCCCCTCTGAGCGGCTGCCCCTGAGCCTGCCCTGAGGGATCTCACCAAAGTCACCCTCTGTGGGACCTTGACACTTCACCTTATCCGACTACCCCCCACCCCCACCTCTCTACCCTTCCCCCAGGAAAGTTAGAAATTTTCCTAACAAATCACTTTCCAGCTGATGATTCATAGACCTATACCCCTGGGGCAAATGACACATTTTATGTTAATAAAAATAACTTTTAAAAAACTCACTTTCCAGGTCCACCTTAGAGGGATTCGACTCAGAGCGGCGCACACATGGCTGGACATTCCAAGGTTCCAGAGGAAAGCTGAGTGGACACCTCATCCCAGGATCCCCTCCCCCACCCACCCCCAGGGTTCAAGGGCTTGGGCACATGCAATTTAAGATCTTGGGGAATTAAAACCACGAATCCCACCTGAGTAGCCAAGTTCCTTTCCATTTTATAAGGAGCAATTTATCCTGAGCACAGACGGGATAGGTGCGCGCCTCCCAGAGACAAATCTGGAAGAAACGTGTAGTAACAGGGATGATGAACCCTCTGACAAAGGAGCTCCGTACAGCTCACGAGGGCAGTGACCTCTTCCTGCGGTGGGGTCAGGTCGAACGGGACTGCTAGGTGTGCCGCATCTTCAGGATGACAAGACGGACCCAGGGCTGGGAAGGGGCTCCCATCAAGTCCCCCAGCCAGGCGGGTCATGAGGGCCTTGAAAGCCAGCTGTCTGTACCCTTAAGCATTTTGGGGGTCACGCTCTGTCAAGCTGGGCGTAACCTCCGGGGGTCAAATCATGTTTTATCCAACTGTTTCCAAGCCTTAGCAGAAGAATGGAGGAACGTTCTCGAAACTGGCTGGAAGAGAAGCAGAAGAGGAAGGAACGTGAGCCACCGCTGGGGCAGAACACGAGGTGCCAGTCCGCGTCATCTACTTCCTTGTCACCCCCCACATACACCAGTCAGACGCCGCTTTCCCTAAGACTGAATTCTTAACTTACTTTCTGTCTCTCTGGGTATCGTCCTGTTAGCTCCTAACACATCCCTCCCCATCATTCCCATTATGTAGATAAGGAAAGCGGGAGAGTTGAAGGCATTTGCTGAAGGTCACATGTGGTGGGTCAAGAATTTAAGCCCAGTTCAGGCCGGCCGCCTCTCGTGGCCCGCTCTCCCGCGCTGTCCCCAGCGCTTCCCCGTGGCAGCTCGCCGTCCTCAGTGGATCAGACCCATTCCCAGGACCGGTCCTGTCATCATCAGGTAATAGACACGTTGGCACCCATCCTCAAGGGCTCAAGACTTTCCCAGAGGACTCGCGCCGGAATATTCTGGAATCTGAAACCTGATGTTTGCCTTTCAAGGACATTCTGGGGAAATCAGCTGCTTTCAAGGGCCTTTGTTGGCTGTGTGAAGATATTTGGCCTTCACGGGGTTGGGTATTACTGGCAAAGATGCTTCCAGTCCTTGGCACCCACAGGCACGCATCTCACCCTGGAGAGCATCTGAGAGCAGGGCCTGTGCCTTCCCTGGGGTCTCCCTCTGGTGACAGCCTCACCGCCATCATTCTGTGCCTACCCCAGTGGCCTCCCTGTGGCTCCTCGAAGCCAAGGTCTCTCCCGCCCCGGGGACTTCTGCTCTCCTGGCTTCTTTTGCACAGACACCTGCTCCCCGGGTCTCCCCAAGGCAGCTGCTTCCCTTGTAGATCTTGGCTCAGACGTGACCTCCATATGGTCCTTCCCCAACCTACTCTTCCTCACACCCCGTCCAGTTCCTTCACAACACTTACTGTGGGCTGATTTCCTTGTTGCCTTCTTTAGCCTCCTGCAAGGAGGTAAGCCCCTAGGAGCAGTGGTTGGCACTTGAGAGTATCGTGTGACAGAGGGAGCGAAGGAGGGATGGACTTCAGGGGACAATGAGGACTCATCTGCTGTTCATGGACGCATTAAGACAAGGAAAGGAAAGTTGCAACCCGGTCTAGTGTTTAGATTTAGGTCCGGATGGGAGAGAAACGTACACTTCCGGCTATACACCAAGTTCTCCTATGTTTACTACGATATTGTAAGAGAATTTTAAAATTCTACCCCAGGTGAAGCCCTAGTCTCCCCTCTCATAGTCAACTTGGTGATTAAAGCTCCCAGGACACCTGGCTGGGCAAACCCTTCCCTGGCCATTGGCCACCACTCCTCCCACTTACCGGCACCGCTGCCTTAGGAAAAGTGCCTCTGGGGTCCTTTCCCAGGCTCCGCCACATTCTTAGAATCTCCCTCTGCAAAGAGACCGGGGCTGTGTCAGAGCAGTCGAATCTTCTGCTGCTCAAATGCTCATGGCTCACCAGCCACAGCCCAACAAAGCTCAAAGACCAGGTGCCCTGGCCCTGTCCCCTCTTCCCCAAACGAGGTCCCCCAATCCCAACTTGCAGCCTCCCCCTCCCCTCACCACAGCCACACCTCTGGTGCAGGGTGGTCCTGCTGCGTTTCTGGCCCAATCTACTGCCATCCCCCCCTTGCTCACTACACACCAGCTACGGTAACGGCCAAGTTGCTTCCAACCCTAGGATTCTCACACTGGCTGTTCCTCTGCTCACTGTTTCTTACTCTCTGGTCTGAGCTTAAATATCTCCTCCTTGGGAAGCCTTCCTTGACATTCAAGTCTAAGGTGTCCTTTTTATGGTGTCCTGTATGTGACCCCAATCACCCTAATCACTATTATTACTAAATAACTACTTGGAGGCTCTTCATGTCTGTATTTCCTGATTGATATTAGCTGCATGATGGCAGGGACTGCGGCCACCAGGATCACAAATGTAGTCCCAACTCCTAGCACAGAATAAAGTTTAACACTTGATAAATATGGGCCGTAAATTCTTAATAACGATATGATGGATGGAAGGATGGATGGATGGATGGAATGACGGATGAAAGAATAGAATATTGGAAAGAGGGATGAACAGATGGATAGAAGAATGGATGAATTCATGGAAGGATGGATAGAAGAATGGATAGATGGAAGATTGGAAGACTGGATGGATAAACGAGTGGAAGGATGGATGGATA